AGACCAATCGGCACTTGGTTTGTGATGTGGTCAACGTCACGCCGGCCCCCTTTACTTCCCAGGACTGCACCTGGTACGCACTCATGGCTGGGTGGACTTGGGAGTCAAGGTTATTTTTGAAAAAAGTTCGACTCCATCAGAACGCGAACCCTCTACCGTCGATCCGCAGGCAGGAGTCCAGCCGTTAACGCCACGGTGACTCCCATCAGGCACAATTGTTAAAAGATAAATGCTGACATCAAATGGGCAGACCATGTGGTGAGCTGTACGATGCGATAAACAATAGGACGGTGGGTTTAAATTGTTTGAGCGTCTATGCTCCATTAGGAGGTGAAGCGTAATGGATAGAACATGTGTAGAATGATTTCAACCGCTAAATGCATTGTTCAGTATACCTCTTTGTAGTTCATTTTAGACATCCATGTTTCCCCCATTATATTCAGAATCCCCTTTGCAATTTACACGAATGAATGCAATAACAAGCAAAAAAGTTTATTTGTTAAAACTCTTACGTTTGTCTGTGTATTCGTGTGTGCTCCGAGTATCTGCATTAGTAGACAATCCCTCATTAAGGTGGGCTAGCCCGCGTATATTTATCTATACTTGCTGTGACGCTGTTTCACATGTTGGCGGTTGTGTATTGTTAGTAGTTACTGTTGCAATGAATTTTTCTACTTTAATTGGATATTGACTTTTTTTTTTTTCACTATTTTGTCCGGCCTCGGCATCGCAATAGTCCTGATTATTTGTAATGAGTTGATTAAAACAAAACTCTCATTTGAATTACTGAAGTAGCAGTTTGATTAAATGTAAATGTGGGATTAAATTCGAAACCTAGCAGAGGCGTTCATGTACACAAAGCATAGAGGACTGAGTACTCGAAAATCTAATAATAATAATCGTTATTATTTCGAGCCTTTAAAGTTCAATGCTCCATTCACCTCTGTTATCTGTCTTCTGTTCTATTTGTGAGTCTATGGGTTTATAGGTATATCTGTAAATTTTCTCCATCTTCTTGTTTTACTTTGTGGCCTTATCCTATTCAGCTCATGAGTATTCATAGTTTTGTCACTCTATGATATGACGTATTTGCCTCTTTATGTCCTAGGGAAGCTATAAAACCCAACGAAAAGTAGAGCAGCGAGCTTCACAACATAACAAATACAAAGAAAACATGAGTGTTTCGGCTATAGAACCTTCATCAGCACATACATAAATCAAACATAACCGCACGAATTCACAAAATCACCTCATTGAGTATCCAAAATCAGCCACGTGAAGTATGCCCAAGGTGTTTCAATTTCTTAGCCCTCATAATGCCAGTGATCAATGGTAGTTAAACAAGTTATTAATTTTTATTCACGCTTCTCGCTCTCCATTCTTCGCTGTTTGCGTATTTGATAGATCACACACTTAATTAAATTCGTCAAAAAACAGTTCTAAACAAGTTTTAGCTGTGCTCCGAGTTACAGATACATTTAAAACAACTGGTCTTGACAGCGTTTGGTATGCATATAGGCGATCTTTATGTTGCGATATAGAGCAATATTAATAATATTAATAATAATAATAATAAACGATTTCCACTTCTATCGGGTGGGGGGGGGGGGGTCAACTTTGCGATCCATTACTTGATGGGCAGTATTTGCTGCTGTCATTCCTTGTCGATGTAGAAGCCCTTTAATGTTATCAATACATTTTCTCCTAGTGCAGTCTTTTGCTTTCACTTCCAATCTCTTCACGTGTAGCGCCTGGGCTGGTAGTTTTTCTAGCTGCATTCTTACTAGATTACCAAACAGTTTTATCTGTTTCTGTTTGTCACTGAAATTTTCTGCACGGTGTTGTTCCCATAGTCTGTCTGATAATATTTCTAACTTTGTCTCGGATGGTTAAGTTGACTGCCTTTCTCATGCATCTCATTTGACAGGTGTTAATTTTACACAAGTTAGCCTATCTCGACGTCTGTAGCTTAGGCGTTGCGAACGCTGTTCGTGATGTAAGGGTGCCGGGTTCGATCCCAGCTGAGGACGGTTTGTCTTGCAGTGGCTTCGACAGTGGTACCGACAGCTGACTGCCCAGAAAGCAGTGAAAAACTACTGAGCGTAAAATTTGCCCAGAAAAACTACGACAGCCAAAAAATACTGGGATTGGTTCTGCAATGTCCTGTAAAGGATACGCGACTAACTTAAAGTTAGCCTTTGATAATGTCCAAGTTTATCACTTGTAGCAAGTGTGGGTATGAAAATACTGTTTGTAATCTGTTTGTTGACCCTGATACTTATGCTTACATTGTTAACAACGGTATCAGTTGGTATATAAGTGCACTGGCTCGTTTGCATCATATTTTTATTTCCCAATCTATTCTTATGTCCTCCTAGAATATACGTGCTAGATATTTAAATTCTTTAACTTACTTCAGACAGGCGATATTCAACCCGATATGTGTGGACTAAAAATTCTAAAGAGATTCTATACTTCAGTTTAAGTAATATTTATTTTAATGTTATTTCTTCTGCATGTTGAACTTAGCTCATTTAAATGGTCATGCAGCCTACTCCACTCCTTGTAGACTAGGTACTAAGTGTCCTCAGTTAAATATAATAACAATAATGATAACGACGACGATGATGATGATGATCATGAGGATGATGATGATGACAGTTATAACAAAAGCCTAAATTTGAAAAAATATTAATGTATAAATAAATACGTAGCAAGAGACCTTCAGTACGTGGAGAAATGGGGAACATCATCATTGCACATTTTCTATAGGGGAAGGGAGGTGGCTAAAAGGTTCCAAGCCTTAGTTTCCGGCACTGCTTCATAAGCGAGGTTGGTTACTCGCCTCTCAGGCAAAAGAACTCTGGCTTCGACAGACACCCCCCCCCCCCCCCAACCTCTTCACCACCACAAATCGCCACCCCCACTTTCAAAATGGCGACCCGAAACCCACACGGCAAATTTCTTGCGACTGAACACGGACTGCTTACTGTGTCAGCAGATAAGAGCGCTTTCCACTTTAGCACTGTGGCTCTCTAAAGGTAGACAGGCAGTATTTTATAGAAGTAATAAGTAAAGTACCCGTTAACATATGCAAAGGCAGTGTGATACTCTATAGATTAATCCAGAGTCTAAAGTCAATGACCTTATAAATGTAGACAGTGACATGTTTTTCATGTTTTAAACGGTTGCAGTGTGAGAGAAGCCTAGTGTGAAAATACCGGGCAGATATGATTGGCGCTATACAACCTAAGTATAAACAGTCATAACAGAAAGAAGATGGCAGTATAGTTAGACACAAACACATTCCTTACCCCGCGGGACCGCAGTCTAGGGCTACGGGTGCCCCAGTTATAGATTCTTTGGATCCTCGAGTAAGTTCCTGAGGTCTATTTGAATGGAACGGGAAAGGGGTGGGGGAGATAGACCGCCTACCACCTAAGAAAGCATATCGCTAGAGGCTTCTTATCATGGGTGTTACCTTCGAAATCAGAGTGCATCTTCCCGAGAGATTTTTTAAAAAGAACCCAGTCTAATTACAAAAAAGCCAGCAATTTAAAACTGGTCTGCACCCAAAACTCAGGTTCTGAAACAGTACCAGTCCAGAAGTGGATTAACAACCAAAATTTTCCGCCGGAATTTACAACCGGTTAACGATGAAAAGAAGAAGAAGAAGAAGAAGAAGAAGAAGAAGAAGAAGAAGAAGAAGAAGAAGAAGAAGAAGAAGAAGAAGAACAGGAAGAACAAGAAGAACAAGAAGAACAAGAACGAGAAGACAAAGAAGAAGAAGAAGAAGAAGAAGAAGAAGAAGAAGAAGAAGAAGAAGAAGAAGAAGAAGAAGAAGAAGAAGAAGAAGAAGAAGAAGAAGAAGAAGAAGAAGAAGAACAAGAACAAGAAGAACAAGAAGAACAAGAAGAACAAGAAGAACAAGAACAAGAAGAACAAGAAGAACAAGAAGAAGAACAAGAAAAAGAAGAAGGAGAAAGAGAGCTTCTTTTGGAGACTTATATGGATATCTGAAATTTGCCCTGGTAATTTTCCATCCAGAACGTGATTCCTGATTGCTCGGGGTGACCAACCCTCAGGTATCAGCCCGGAGGTCGAAGTGACCACTGTCGCGATATCCTGAACACATTCTGGGACGAAGCAAACAGGAACTGAAAGAGGAATAAATAGACTGCGACAGTGAGGTCGCCAAAAAGAAAAACTCTGCTTCGAACGTTGATAAGAGAGGTCAGAGGTGCCAGTTTAGATAGCAAATAACTGAGGGGTTACATCGGATAAATCTAAAACAGAATGGGGGGGGTGGGGGGGGTGGGGGGGTGAAGGGGGTATTTCTTACAAGTGTATAGCGTTTAAACAAAATAAAAAGATGTTGATGTTCTTTCGGCGACGGTCTTGTGGGTAAATAAGTGGTGTGTAGAAAATTCGATATGTTAGATAACGGAATGAACATCCAGCTGTCGCCTACTTTACTAGGACACGGCGGTTCATTGATCCCCCTTTAAAAGCATTTGAAATTAGGAAGGTATCTTCGTTGAGACGTCATGGGGCAATAAACTCTATCGTGGACTGACTGAAAGTTTTTGTTCAGGCTAAGTATTTGTTCGGGCTCAAAGAGCGGAAAATATTACTTAAGAAAAGAAATAAATCACTAACCGCCCAACATCTGTCTGTCTGTGTGTCTATATGTATATCTATCGCTGTCTCTCTCTCTCTCTCTCTCTCTCTCTCTCTCTCTCTCTCTCTCTCTCTCTCTCTCTCTCTCTCTCTCTCTCTCTCTCTCTCTCTCTCTCTCTCTCTCTCTCTCTCTCTCAAGATTAGCACCGGGTAAAGGCATGGGAAGTAAAGGCAGGGGTGGTTTGATATCGCCCACATCACCCAATGAGTGCCGACTGGTCTATATAAATTTAAGTCTACCATCATACGCCTGATTCTCCACTGGCGTAAAAGAGCCCATTACTTATTTATCTTATAACTGAAACGTGATGTCATTACAGCTTCTTGAAGAATTGAACATCTGGCCTCAGATCAAGAGACTGGCCGGAACTAGCGCAGGAGCCATGACGGCCACACTCCTTGCCATCGGATACGATTCCCGGGATTTGGAGCAGTTCTTCAGCCTGAACCTGAATAATATTTTTCTTGGTACGTTTCATCACGTCTTCTTTTATGTTCTATACTTGTGCTTGTTACACAAATTATTCACACGAAGTTAACAAACTTGCGAAATGTTTCTCTGACGAGTGGCTTTGTTATCGACTGCCAGACAAGAAACCCCCGGGGAAAGACACTTCTGTTATGTTCTTTCCGCGTGGCTGTCTAGTTGTCTCAGACTTTAAAGGAATTATTCCTCTTCTAAAATTTAACTTAAGCACTCCTGTCAGACCCATGGGGGTACGCGCTCATTCGTCCTAGCCAATAGGGGCGGGGGGGGGGGGTGGTTGTGGTTGTATGTGATGGTGGTGATGATAACCGAAGAAGAAGATCAAGAATAGAAGGAGTGGAAGAATGTAAGGACTGAATTGTCGTTTCTCAATTACTGAGGGAGACCGAAGAGGGGGCGACAAGGTGCTTGTACCCTCCGGTTCCAGAACTTATGGTCTGTGGTAAATACTTTAGTGGCACTCTATTTGGCAATCGGCATTTCATTATATTATCCAACTCGTGAGGTCATCGAATAGTTTCATATTTAGTATGCTAGTCGGAATAAACAATTCTGTCTTTGTATAACTTACACTTTATTGACAGTAGAAATGTGTGTTACATACATACTTGATGCTTGATATGATAACTGACATTCAATTAGGCGAGAGTTGTCTCTGTGGCCAAGTGGTTCAGCTGTTTACCTAGCGCTCTTGGAACCATGGGGTCGTTTCGCAAGTGCCGATTTTACAGAGACCTCTCTGAATCGTTGCATGCGCTATTGACTTCTAGTTATGTGGCAACAATTTCGGTTTCTTTTCTGTTAAGTCACCAAATCACGCGAGATTTAGGGACATCTCATAGTGTAGGGGGATTAGAGTTAGTAGCAGTCGCTATTCATTTAACACTAGCCCTAACCCTAACCCCCCTATACTATGCGATTTACCTAAATCTCGCATGATGTGGTGACTTAACAGAAAAGAACCCAATTTTGGCAGGCGCGTTTCGTTCTTTGGAAAGAGATCGATCCTTAGCAGTAAATAAAGTTCAACCTGTCGACTTCTTCGTCAGCATTCCGAACCCATGTGGTCCATTGCTGCAGATATCACCCGCCTCCATTCATATCTCTGATTGGACTTCTTCTTTCAGTTGGTGACACCACGTATTTGCAAGTTTGTCAGGATATTATCTCTCCATCGTCTTCTTAGTCTGCCTCGTGGTCTACGACCATTCATTCCTTTGTGTATACAGTTTTTACCTCTCTGTCATCTGATATAAAGTGTTCTTTCTCTTTTTGCTAGTCTATATTTGTGATTTTATGCATCGTATAATTAATTATTTATTTAGGACATCCAGTTTTAACATATGGCTGTGAATCCTGGACAATCGGTAGGCAGGCCAAACAATTTCTTGAGGCCTCGGAGATGTGGTTTTACAGAAGAATGCTTAGAATACCTCGGACAGCCAAAAAGAGCAACCAAGAGGTTTTAAAAGTGCCGGGAGCCCGAAGACAACTTGTCACAGACATCAGAAGGAGACAGTCATCATTTTTGGGCCATGTTATGAGAAGAGGGAAAATAGAAGATGTTGTGACCACTGGAAAGATATGTGGAAGGAGAGATAGAGGAAGACAACGAGAGAAGATGCTTGACAGTCTTGTTGCATGGCATGGAGTTGTGTCGGCACACGAACTGATACATGCTTCAGGAGATCGCAGATTATGGAGAGGCATGATCGCCCACGCCAGTCGGCAAGGCACCTGATGAGGATGATGATGATTTATGACAGTTTTGTCATTTCTATTATTGCTTTAAATGTTGCTTTGTTTGCACCTTTCTAGGTTGTGATCAAGATATGAAGTGTACTACGAATATTTAGATAATCTTGCTAACAGACGTCGGCTCTGTGGCTAAGTCGATGCGAACGTTTCGTAATGCCGCTATGCCGGGTTCGATCCCAGCTGCGGGCCATGCGCCTTGCGTTGGTTTCGGCTGTGGTATCAAGAAGCCGACCGTCCAGGGGGCAATGGCAAACTACTGGACGTAAATTTGCCTAGATAAACCACACAACAGCCAGGGGCTGCTAGGTTTGGTTCTGCAACGTCCTGTAACGGATACGCAACTAATCTGCTAACATACACCGATATATATATATATGTATGTGTGTGTGTGTGTGTGTGTGTGTGTGGCGTGTGTGTGGCGTGTGTGTGTGTGTGTGTGTGGCGTGTGTGGCGTGTGTGTGTGTGTGTGTGTTTTTTTTTTTTTTTTTTTTTTTTTAGCTACATTAATAAATTTCTTGACCTTACCACGAAAAACACTGGGGTTGTCTGTGTGCAACAAGTTTTCCATCGTCAAAGGTCATTTAAAAAGATTAATTCAACGAAAGATTCATATTTCTTGCACTCCAGCAAGTAGTGCTCTATATTACTGTGCGCCAGACATAACATAAATCACAGGTCCTGTGTTCCCGATAGGTTTTTATAATGACCTGTAACCTAACCCAACAAACATCTATCTCTAGATCACAAATTTGGCTATCTCAGTCTCCTTCCTAACCTCCTGACTTCATATGGTTGGAACCCTGGACAGAGAATCTACAAATGGTTTGGCCAGAGAGTGTTCGATAAAACTGGTGACATGGACACAACTTTTAAACAGGTAATTCACTTTCTTTATCCCTTATGTTTACCTTTTGTTAATAGGTATTTCAAAAAAAAACGTCATATGACTTCCTTTTTTGCTTACATGTTTTTCACTGTCTCCATCTTTTGTATTTCATCTTTGCTTACAATTGTTTCACGTTCTTTATCTTTTTTTTTTCTTTTCTGCGTCTTATAAACACACACACACACACACACACACACACACACACACATATATATATATATATATATATATATATATATATATATATATATATATATATATATATATATATATGAGAGAGAGAGAGAGTTTGTGCGCGTGCGTATTTATCATTGACAGTAGAGGTTTTATTTATTTTTTTTAGTACTGACGGAACGGTCGTGACACATCTAAAAAAAACGGGACTGTCCAGATGAAAACAAGTCACCCTACTCATACCAATATTCACGCCCGGCTCTCTAGCGTAGTTGGCTAAACCGGATTGCGCGGTGAACGGGTGACGAACTCCTTGTGGTCAGGGTTCACTCCCGGGGGTGGGCAGAAAAGCCACATTTTCTCCCCGATTTACAGTATTTACAATAGAATCAAGGCCGAAAGGTTGCTATATCCATAATACTGAGCCTAAGGGTTAACAACTCATGGCTTCTGGATACTCAAACAAACCAATATTCACATGTTGAATACTGACGTACTCACTGCTAGTGTTCATGTATGTGAGAGAGACAGGCATACATAAAGATGCACCGAAATATAAAGACAATGCGTGGACAATTATGCAACTTCTGAAGAAAAAGAACAAAATAAAACATTTTTGCTTCATTGTAATTTATAATTTCCATACATACAGGTGTACGAAAGGTTCAATCGCGAGCTTTGTGTGGTTGTCACAAATCTAAACCAGATGACAACCCTGTACTGTCATCCCAAGACTACCCCTGATATGCCTGTTAGGCTGGCAGTGCGCATGTCTATGAGCATTCCAGGTGTGCTTTTTTTCCCATCTTTATTAATTTAACTATCAAACTTGTAAAACTGTTAGTGAAATTAATTTCTCACTTATTATCTTATTTTTTTTTTTTTAAATAGTTAATGGAATGATTTAAAAAAACAGTCTTCCTCGAAACAGAGGAAAACCATAAAACTGATTATTATAAATTATGCATTGACAGTCAGTGTTTTCTGCAGATGTTATGAGAAGGAATAGTCTTGGCAACTTGGATACGGCTGGCAAGATTGTTGGGAAAAGATCAAGGAGAGATACAAATCTGGTAGGATTGCCAATAGGGATGAGGAGATACAAGAACACTGACCTGATTCATGATTCTGTAAAATTTTGAAACATGACTTTCTACACTTAACAGCAGTGCACATCATGATGACGATGACTTGGGGCAGTTCCTGCATTGGATAACCGTGCATATCAAATGTATTCAATGCACAATGATGTTGATTATAAAAAGATACCATAAGATTGTACTTGAAAAGTATAGAGATATCATAACTTTTTCACAGGTTTGTTTCATGCCGTAAAGCATACGTTACATGGACAAACTGACATATTTGTTGATGGTGGAGTTCTGTGCAATTATCCAATACATTGCTTTGATGGTAAGTTGATTATTTCTTGCTCCGTAACATTATCTTTTCTAAATAAGCCTAGGAGCTGCTGTGATGTAGCGGCTAGATGTGCGCCTGCGGATCCAGAGGTTATGGGTTCTGATGAACCCGGACTTCACTTTTTTTTTCAAAAATGTTCCCAGGTTAATTCAGCCTTAAATAGCTACCAGTAGAGTCTTGGAGAGTAAATGGCGACTGGTGTGATATTGACCACATTACCCACCAAGTGCCAGTTGGTCTATAAAATATCGGTCTAGCCGTATAAGCTCAATATACCTGAAAGCATGGGAAAAGTCGTGTACTTCACTTTTTAATAATAAATCCGTTTCTTGCTAGAGTAATTTTTCACATTAACAAAATGTATAAGGTCTTGTGACAAAACTGTGTGGTTCGTCCATCGCGAGTGATGAAGACCACTTATGAATACGAAGGTGGCTGATTAGTCCAATAGGAGCCTAAAAGTGTGGGATTAGCTGTATGATTCTTTCTAGTCTGCCTCCATTTCTCTGCCAGTGCAACCTCCGCTGCCTGGCAGGCTGATACACCATGCATGAGGGATGCACGTCATCCAAAACGGTCCTGTGCAGCAGCCACCCATGTTGCTGCTTTGATGCCAAAAGAATTGAGAACAGTTTTGAGAGTGTTCTTATACTATAAGACTTATAGCGCTTTTTCTGTCCTCCCTGAGACCTTTTCCCTTGCTGGAGCTCGCCATACAATACTTTCTTTGGGAGGTGATAGTTTGGCATGCTGTCTAACTAACTCGCTCAATCCAGCTGATAATTCCTCAGTATCGTGTGGATGCTAGGCAGGATTGACCCTATCAAGAACCACAGTATTTAGTATCCTATCTTGCTATTTGATTGTGAGCAGCTTTCTGAGACGTGTTATATGAAACTGATTTAACCTTTTTAGCATGGCGCTGATACACAGTCCACATCTAGCAAGCGAAACTATACTGAACTATATAGTACTTTAGTGTTGATTCAAACACATTTAAATGAAACAAATGATTCGTGTGAATCAGATAATTTGACTAGATTACAATAATCACACATCAAAAGAGGAAGAATTTTAAAAAGAGTATTATGTAGGGGGAATCTAGAGAAGAATAGTAAGCCAACACAGAACCGGTATCGTCAGTTGCTACACTGTTTTGAAGAGGGTATCGTGGCATGTATTATTTGAATGATTTATTGTGCAGTGAGGTCGATTTGTCCTCTAAAACGCTCGATAAATAAAAGCTCACTGCTAGGAATAAGCAACAATAATCACCCCAAAAAATCTCAATTGTTAGTAGGTGACAGCTAGATCAACCCAAAGAAAGGCCCAAACCAAACAAAAAGTCAAAGCGATCCTTACCTGTCTAGAAAGGTAGTGTGGTACTTAAAGTAGATGGTACCAGTCTCCTAATCGCAAGTTCTTAATAGTTTGAGTGTAGCATCAGGGGTTGATCCTGTTGGAGTTACATCCATAATGCTGCTCATCTGGACAGGTAGTATCCAAGACGGAAAAACATTCAACTAGTCACTTTTAGACAAAACTGCCACAAAATTTCAAAGGTGGTTATCTCCCATAACCAAGAAATATCCTAAGCAAAACTAGCCCAGAACTGCTGATAGAACGTGGACCGTACTGGTGTGGTTACCAGCTGATTGTGAATCACCATCGTTCAGGAGCTACCATGGTTCCTTCTTTCTTGTTCATCCTTGAAGTCACCTAGTGGAAGTATTTTTTTCCTTGTACATCTTTAGTTAACTGTATGTGTTACAGATAGGAAGCAGGTATATTCTAGATATTGCAAGATTTACTTTCTTTAACTCTGTCTAGCCATATTTTCTGGGTCATCCTTTTTTCCTTGTATGCTGATGTTCTCATGTAATATTCTTGACGCTTGCAGTCCAGGCTGATTGGAATTAATTATGACTAGTTGCCCAAACCATTTGATTGTATGAGGTTCAGTGAAATTGCTGGTTGGTGTTGTCATCATGATTCCTTTGTTTGCCACTGCTAATTCTGTCTCTCCTTGTCTTACCAACAACATTTCGTAAACATCTTATCTTACAAGTTGTGATTTCGTTTTGATACTGTCAAGGACTTTCCATATCTGAACTGAAAGTTTCTTGTACGCCACAAGCATTTATTATTGTTTTGTTAGTTTGCAATTGCCTACACGATTTGTGTATTTCAGCTGAAATAGTACACTGATTAATATATTATATGTTAATGTAGATTATGTTGCATACACCTGACAAGATGCTGTGAAATATGCCAGGCAATAAATTGTTTGTCTCCTTATTAGCACAATATAACAATTAAATTAAAAGTCCTGATTCCTTTTTTTTTTTCTTTTTTTTTTCTTTAATGTTTTATTTACACTAATTGCGAAATGGTCATAACTCACTCAACATTATAATTTGAGTACTTGTTCACTTTTGTACCACATAATGTAACAATTACAGCACCTGTACACTTTATTATTTCTAGGAAAATGGCTATGGCTCATATAATATAACAATTATGGTGCCTCTACACTTTAATATCAATAGACAAATGGCTATGGCGCACATAATCACTATCGCAATGGCTAGGAGGTGGAAGTCCAACAGTTGATTCATGACAATTCACGCCCAGGTGATCTGATTATCTATACAGATGGTTCGGTTGTGAGAGGAAAGAGAAGTGCCTGGGGGTTCGCATCGAAACCCAATGGAAAATCTTTAGTGCAAGACAGCCTAGCATATAACATCACAACATCTAGCATGAGAATGGAGGTGGAGGCGGTAACTGCAGCTCTCCGGTTGCTAGAGAACAAGATATATACACATGCTGTAATTGTAACAGACTCTGAAGGCATGCTGAGAAATTTGAAGACAGGTATGCTTCGAGCAGAGTGGCAAGCTTCACTGGGAAGGTCACGGGTAGGGAGCATACTTTAGATTTTTTCTCCAGGCCATGCCGGCGTAGTGGGTAATGAACAGAGAGACAGACTGGCTCGATCTGCACCACAAGATGGTGAATTGATACATGACAAGGCAGATGTGGTTAAGGCCCTTTGGGAACAAGAAAAGGAATCAGCAGAGAAACAAGATTATTATGGCCTAAAGAGACTGAGGCACCTGGGTGTAAGCAGAGGGTCTGGCCGGCTCACTACACTCAAAGGAAATGCAAGATAGACACATAACCAGATTGTGACTGGTACTATCAGTAATGGAACGCTGTGCTGGCTACTGAAGTTTGCGACGGATCACGTATGGAATTCCCTGAGTGCTCTGATGTCAAGTCTTGACTCAACTCAACTCAACTCAACTCAATAGCGAAATGGCTGTGGCTCACATAAAATAACAATTACAGTACCGTACACTTTTAAACCACTAGCAAAATGGCTATAGCTCACATAATATTACCCTACCAATTAACTTTGTAACCAGGATGGTGGTTGTCAATGAAACCTGAAGATAATTTCCTGGAGAAACTTCAGCCCTTAGAAGACATACCAAGGCTTTTGGAAAGAACTGAAAGATTTGGCACATACAATGAGAAAACTTTGGGCATGCAACTGGTAAGTTCAATCAGTTATAATTATTGGTCCTTTCATTTTAGCTCACCCCTTCTTAGGGACTTTAAGAGTTGCTGTGGAGTTCCCGAGGAAAATCCAATAGAATAACTTTAACCATAACCCCCCTATGATATAGTAATTTCCGCGGCAATGCTCGGATACCCGGAGATTGGTTGAACTAAACTGATAGCACCTAATTATTTCATGCAGTGGTTTTTTTTTTTTTTTTCGTTCACCGGCTGTGAATTCCGGCGGAAGGTCACGGTTAATCGTCCGCTTGGACTTTTGGCTTTCACCTGGACCTGATTTTTGCGTGTACAACCGTTTTAATGTTCCCTGCCTCATGGGCAGCTGTATTCCGACTTCGAAGGAAGAAGTCAGGACTATTTCTAGGTTGATTGTGGCCATTGTTTTGTGTGGGTCAAGACGTTGCCTGATTTGTGTGGAGTCCACTTTGTCTCCTTCTCCACAGGTATTGCCCCCGGAGTACCCCTTTGGGGCAGCCACCTGTGGAACAGTTAGCCCTCAAGGGAAGGCAGAGGCAGATCATGGGCATTCCCCGCCATCCAAGGAGGCTTCCATGTATGCAGAGTCGGCACATGGCGCTCTGGTTCTGGGCTCACCCAAGGAATCGTCACGTCCTGCACATGCCTGCTTAACCTCACAACAGTATCAGGCTTCCCGCTCGACAAGAGCTGCGCCCTCTGGAAGTCAGCGGGGAGCAGCCTGTGGATTTTGGACTTTTGTGACCACCCGAATAGACACATTTTTTTTTTTTTTTTTGCACGTTAGATTTTTTTGACGAGCCGTTAGCCCGACAGAATTTTACATTCTGCGTCAGGCATATCGTTATCAGTTTGGTCCCAACACTCGGGCGAGTGGGGTCTTTAGGTGTGGATATTTGGTCTTTTTTACGTTCAGTACAAATTGTGGAGGTCAGATTTTGAGCTCACTCGTGTGCCGTAGGATCTAGTTTTGTCAGACAAGTAGGCTTAGCCAGCCAATGGGCTGTTGCTGTTGTGATGTACCTCAGCGCGGTGACGACGACACTAAGGGTTAACCGAGGATGTACATGGCTGGCCAGCCTATGTGTTTGCTGTTTTGGTGTACCTCAGCGCGGTGACGACGACACTAAGGGTTACCGAGGATGTACATGGATGGCCATCCTCTGGATGGTTGCTGTTGTGGTGTACCACGGTGACGACGTCACTGAGGGTTAACAGAGGATATACAGTGAACAATGTTCTCTTCACATTCTTTTAACCAAGGGTTGTGATTTTTAGCTGTACGTTTGGCAAGCATACTCATGTTCCTAATGAGTTTTGATAACCTTTTTCACCCAAGCGTTTGGGGGCGGACTGATGAGAGCCACAAGAGCACATCACCTCTGGGGGGCGCCAAACTCCGAGATCCCCTGACAGCTCTGTTAATGCTCGTTTGAGACATTATCCGTGGCGCACGACGAGGACGTACTGCAGGGGTCTTGCGTGAGGTTCCGTAAAACCAAAACATTGAAGGACTGGAGCCCGTGTGACGTACGGAGTATCTCCTAATACACATCATGCTGGACTTAACCTCCCCTCACGCCTGTGACGTAAATCAACGTGCCACATGCAGTGTATATATTTAGCTATAAAGTCACAAAAGTTTTATGCAACTGGCTACTTAGATGTACATTATACTGCCAACCCAGCAATGTGTGGCTGTTTGTGGTTTTACTAAATAATTTTTTAGCATTTTGTCTTTGCTTACTAAACCGTCTGAATCCCATACTATTGTCAATATCATTGCGAAGCAGTCTGCTGTCAAACAGGAATACAACCAGTTTATCTCCTACCTATAAATACTTGAAAACTGTAAAATGAAATAAAACAGAATATTGAACAGTCATGTTGCTAGCAGTTTACAGTTTCGTATGACTCCATATTGTCTGAAATATCCAAACAGTTTTTTATTATTTATATCCAGTGTATAGCAATGCCAGCATTGGCTTTTTCACCTGTGTTTTAATGGAACAGAGGCAAGAATGAAAGTGCAGAATGGAGAAAACGTCAAGGCAAAACATAGGGAGGGTTAGCGGGAAACATATATATTCTAAATACACTGATCAATAAAAGGAAAGAAAAGACAGTCAAAAAGAAAGAAACAAACAAAGCCAGTTTTATACCAGCCCACTTTAGTCATCTCAGACACAAGAGGTTACTGATTTATCATTCTGTGCTTCTCTCATAAGTATCATAAGGGTGACAAAAGAAATCTTGGCTAGGAAAATGATACACCTGTGTTTTTTAGTTGTCATTTTCTGTTCCTAATTGGTAAATTGATGTTGTCTTCTAGGATGGAAAAGATTAAGCACGGACATTTTCTGTTTTCACAAGATATACATTTCATCATTTCTGTTCTTATAATATGTAATTAATTGTACTTTGTTGTTTCCACTTTCCTGTTTTGTGCTCAGTACTCAGATAATGAACAAGATTTGCTGAAGTATCAACTAGAGAATTTGCGTCATGGGGTTCAGCTTCAAGAACTACCGAACACAAAACTTGCAAGGTCAGACACACTTTTGTGTATGTACTCTTCTCTCTCTCTCTCTCTCTCTCTCTCTCTCTCTCTCTCTCTCTCTCTCTCTCTCTCTCTCTCTCTCTCTCTCTCTCTCTCTCTCTCTCTCTCTTTCTCTCTCTCTTTCTCTCTCTCTCATTGTATCTCTCTCTTTTTCTCTCTGTTTTGTCTCTGTTTTTAATAGAAGAAGAAGAAGAAAAAGAAGAAGAAAAAGAAGAAGAAGAAGAGGAAGACAAATAGACAAGACAGACAGACAGACAGACAGACAGACAGACAGACAGACAGACAGACAGACAGACAGACAGACAGACAGACAGACAGACAGACAGACAGACAGACAGACAGACAGACAGACAGACAGACAGACAGACAGACAGACAGACAGACAGACAGACAGACAGACAGACAGACAGACAAGCAGCAGCAGCAGAAATGTTCACCTGTTATCTGCCAGTCTTTTCACCAACCAGCATTCATAACTATTTACTATTTGTTTGTCTTCAATGTTTATTCATTCATTCATTGTTTACTGGTTCCTTGCTCCTGTTCAGTGTGTCATTTCATGTGGTGTGCAAATGCTTGTAAATGAATAAATTGATGTATCTGTACAAATCCTGCACATATGTGTTGTTTCACCAGATTTCTCACAGCCACTTAACCATGACAGTATGAATGTTTTTATTATTTACCAGCCCAGGTTTGACATGTGTTCCTGATCATTGTTTTCAACTTGCTGACATTCCCTTTATTCTGTTTCAGAGAAAAGATAAAAAAGAAAAAGCTACAGCTAAAAACAGATCGGGAACACAGGAGGCTGGTTAAGGCTATGAATGCATTTCTTCGGGTAAGAATGTTACACTTTGTCCTGGATATATAGGAGTCAATGATATGTTAGGTAAAGACCATGTTTATAAGATATGGCAAAATTCTTATTCTTATTTTCCTCTTCTGCACTTTATCCTCTAATGGGGCATAGACCTTTAGCCAAATCATGCCAAATTTTCCTATCATTTATTATTTATTGCCTGTAACTCATTGGATGGCCTTCCCATCTTTTTAAATTCACTTTCTAGCTCCTTTCTCGATGTGTGTTTGCTAATCTGCCTTTATTGCTGGGCCCCTGTGGGTTTCAGTGCAAAGATATTCCATCATATTGTTCTCAGGTTTTCTCCATTTGTGTCCTACCCAATGCCAGCGTCTTTTCTTCACTTCTTGATTGACTGGCCACTCTTTTAATTCTCTCCCAAAGCTCAAAATTGTTGATTCTCTCATACCATTTAATGACCTCTAGTATGTGCAGAAACCAGTAAATAAATGTTCACAGTTTATTTGTTATTGTCTTAGTGTTTCTCTAAGTTTCCGCTCCAGATAGCAAGTACTGATTTGACATTAGAATTAAACGTTCTAAGTTCAGTATCATTTTTAATTTCTTCCTACCTCCAAAAATGTCCTTGTGATGTGAACACTTTTCTTTCGTATTAGTGTTTGAACATCCCTGGTAGCCCCCGCCCCTCCTTCTTGAATTTGTTAGGAACTTTTTTTTTACAGGAGAAATGTAATTTTCATCAGAAGTGTGTAAAATAAGTGTAATATTTAGCTTGTTGTAGAAAATTATTGAGTTAGCAATGCAGAATATACTCAAACATTGCTTATGAAGAGCAGGGTAGTCATTTTTGTTATATTTGTATTTTATTTTATAGTCACATGTTCTCCTAAAGAATAGGAGATTAAATTGTTTCCTTTATTTTTGTACAGGCACTTAACAAACACAATGTTGACAAAAATGACACCATTGACAGACAGGAATTGGAGGCAGCATTAAAAGATGTAAGTTCTGAACTAAAAAATTTTTCTGTAATCTCATTTTCTTACAGAAAAGACAATTGTAATTTTTCTTTTAATAACAAAAGAAATGTTGGATTAACTGATTTAATAATAGGAAGAAAAATCTAAAAAAAAAAAAAAAATATGAGCCTGTTTTTGCTGGTTTTTAAATAAACATCTAAATTATTCTTATCATTATAAAATTCTTTAATTTGAATGTCTACAAAGTATGAAGTTTTCACTTTCAATATCAAAGATAATTAGTAAACATAATTTTTTTTCTCTCTCTCTCTCTCTCTGGTGATGAAGAACTAATTTTTCATCAGATTTCGTTTGTATTGGCTTTCATATAAAATTTGATCTGCCCAGTGCTCTGAATACAGACCTCATTTTAAACGTTTATAAAAGTGGCTGACTTTTAAAATAAAGTCACCTTAGATTTATTTCCTTTCTTTCAGTTCGATATATTAAATATAGTTTTCAATATATCACCCCAACATATGTGACATCAATAGATTTTCACAAGAATTCCACATTATCTTAGATGACATTCTCTACTCTGTGCAAACCCAGGTCAGTCATAAACAATTGTTAAGAATATATATGTGTGCATGTAAATGTTCATAAATGCATGTAAGTAAAAAAAAAAAAGTAAGTAAAGGGCCCTTTTCCACGCCTTTAGGCATATAGGGCTAGACCTATATTTTCATAGACCAATCGGCACAAGATGGGTGATGTGGTCAGTATCATGCCGGCCGCCTTCACTTTCCCGGGACTGCACCCGGTACCCACTCAAGGCTGGGTCGACTCGGGAGCCAAAGTCATTTTTGAAAAAAGTCTGGCTCCGCTAGGGAGCGAACCCACGACTTTCCGATCCGCGGCGAGCGTCTAGCCGTTCGATAAGTGCATGTATGTGTGTGTATATGATAGTATTCAGCAAAACCTCATTTATTAGAACTCATGCAAGAAACCTAGCAACCAAAAAGGGATGAGGATTAAGGCATACAAGCTAAAAGAGCCAAAGGTTATGGCTAGATACCAGGAACCTATATAAAAAGCAATAGGAACTGAAGAAGAACAGTCAGAGGACACTAAAACACTGTGGTGCAGATTCAAGAATATGCTCACAGCAGCTGCAGTAGAAGCATATGGTATACCAATTTTAGCCTAGGAGCCAATGTCAGTTCTGAAAAAAATCTGCCTGAATGTAAATTGGAACCATAGACCTTCAGACAAGTGGCCAAGTAGTCACTACTTCACTGTGGCTCTCAGTGTGTTTTGTAACAACATATTAAAACCATTTATTACTCAGTGATTTAAACATTTTTCTATTGTTTCCAGGAATCATCCTTTCCAAGAAGCAGAAGGGTAATATTATTTGGGGATGTTGGCAGTGATGTCATTCTAGATTACCTTGACAAAGATCATAATGGACAGGTATGCTTTTTTTTTATCATTTGTTTCTGAAAAATTTATGACACAAAAGTTTGTAAATAAGTGTGTAAACTTAAGATGTTAGGTGCTCCTTCCATCTGTCTGATGGTAACAGTTCTTAATCTCTTCTAGTTAAATTTTTTCCACATATCATCAGTTTTTCTTGAGCTTTAGTTAGTAACCAGGTTTGGCCACGTAACACACACTCTGCTTGCATGTGAATGTATGCACACACACACATACATACATATCCCCACACACACACACACACTGCACATGCATGAATACACACATCTATATTGTTCCAAACTCAGCCGATTTAGCTTGTCCTTTAGTTTTTTTTTCCCTTGACCAATTTGTTTCATCTTTATCTTCTTCTACTTCTGCTTCTGCATGTACATGCCAGAGAAGCATAGATCTTCCACCAGGATTAGTTGCAATTTACTTCTCAAGTTGTCTGTGTGATAAGATAACCATTTGCACTCTAACTTTCTTTAGGCAAGGATCATAGTCCTTCAATATAGTTTGCTTTTAATTACCATCATTGCATGAAAGCAGGAAATGAAATTGTAAGAAATGAAATGGGTTGAACTGCAGTAACAATGCAAAAATAAAGTGAGTACATTAACAAACATGCAGTGAGAAACTGGTCAGCTTTGAAAAAAAAAACATTTAATGTTGTAGCTAGAAAGCCTATATCTGTATTCCAAAACAAAGTGACACTGATAGTATCAGTATGAAAACCTTTAGAAAAGCCACTTAACCTTTTGTGACCAGATGTTGTCAGAATATCCTGGGGTATGAGAGTGGTACTAAAATTAGATAAGTATCTCAGTATACTTCAGTATTTTTAGTGTTGAACACAGCATGCATGAAGAACTAGCTTGTAGTCTCAACATGTCTCAAAGAGGATTTTCATTCTGAAAATATTAATCCTTTTTCCTCTGCCGTGTCTAAAATTTACCGTACAAGTTATGTAGAAATTCTTAGTATACCATGGACCAAAAAAGAGGGAAAACACCGAATTGGCTCATAAACAGTATCCTGTCCCAAAAGCTGAGGTATTTTGGCAATGTTAAACTTCCTGGAGAGAATGAATAGTGATGAATGGTACAGTTTCTGGCAAATGAGGCAGAAGCAGACCTCTGTGAAGGTGGATACGTTGAAGACGCAGTGACTATGAAAGCACATAGGGATGGAGAATTAGCTAGAAAATAATATACCTTCAGGCATGCCATGATGAGAGTGTCATTCTATAAGGTACCTGCTGACTGATGATGAAGGTCCTTGGTCCTTACCCACATAGGACTCAGGTTACAGCAGTTGGTGTAGCCGTTATGGGTGCCCTAATTATAACTGCTTTGGAGGATGAACAGGGTATCTGCTTGTTGGTGTGCCAAAATTTTTAAAACTCAGAATGGTATTGCAGCAGCCCCAAGTTGATAAACCAATCGATCGATACAGCCAGTAAAGACTAAAATCAACATGTGGATGGTGGAAGAAAATATTTGTATGAAGAACTCTATCCTTTTGTCTTCGTCATCATCAATTTCCACTTCTGTTGTTAAGTGTTGTGGGGAGAAACAGTTTGCAATCCATTGCTTGATGGGCAGCAATGGCTATTGTCATTCCTTGTCAATGTAGAAGCTCTTTAATGTCTTTAATCGATCTTCTCCCGGGGCATCCTCTTGCATTTACTTCAGACCTCTTCATGTGTAGCATGTGCGTTGTTAGTTGTTCTGGCTGCATTCTTACTAAATGACCAAACCATTTTATCTGTTTCTCAATGAATTTGCTGCGTGGTGTTGTTCCTACAGTCTGTCTGATAATATCATTTCTAACTTTGTCTTGGATGGTTAAGTTTGCGGTTTTTCTCAAGCATCTCATTTCACAGGTGGTAATTTTACATAGGTTAGCTTTTGATAATATCCAAGTCTGGCACTGCTAACACAGTGTTGGTATGAATATGCAGTTTATAATCTGTTTCTTGGTGCTCATACTTATGTTTGGATGTCTTCATAATGGTTTCAGTTGGTACATAAGTGCACTGGCTCGTTGGCATCTTGTTGTTTTTTTCCGGATCTATTCCTCCGTCCGCAGAGAATTTACTTCCAAGACATTTAAATTCTTTAACTTGTTTCAGACAAGTAGGATTTAACATGATATGTGGTGGACTGGAAATTCTGCTGACCTTCGTTACTTCACTTTTAGTAGTATTTATTTGTATCCTTTTGTAATCAGAGTAAATACTTGAACTTTGCTACACTAATGACCTTGACCAAGAAAGAAAATTAGAAAGTCAGTGCAAAGGCTAAATTGAAAAATCAAAACATTTATATATGAATGAAGCAAAAGCATAAAGTACATATCAGACATTTTTGGCAATGCAGGTGCCAGAACAGACATAATGACCAGTACCCCACAGCATATTCTCGTTCTTCCTGCCAGTTGTTTTCAGATGAGAAGGTTATAGGCCTCTATAAAGGGTGTGGTGCCACACATGTGTTCTACTGTTCCATACATCTTGGTTTCCATTGGAATACTAACTGGCAAAACCTGGGATCTCTCTGCTACATGTAGAGTTTATGTCTGTAGCACATGTTCTTTCTGTGGAGCCTGTCCAAATGGGCACAGCTCTGAATCTCCAACCTCACATTTCTTATACATATGGATGCAGAATTTGTTGTGTCCAGTATGCAGTCTAGAAATACTAGTCTGTTTCTTTAGTGTGAGGAGGTTGACTGAGTCAGTAATTCATAATATAAGTTAATTAAGTTGCATTAATTGGTTCAGTAAAACCTTGTTAACATGAACTCACTTAAGATGAACACTCAGTTAACATAAACAAAATTGTGTTCCCAAAAGGGATGTATTGTTCATAATCATCATTGTCAGAATACATCTATTAGTCCCTGGTAATTTTTTTAAACACAAACTAGTGATTTTGCGGTCCTCTGGAATTCACGATAACAAGATTTTACTGAAATCTTTTGGATTTCAGATCAGTTATAATGAACTTCTGAGCTTCATGGAAGAGACTGGGATCAGCATGCAGAACAGATTCCTGGGATACCAGCGACGTCAGATTAAAAGTTTTCCCAGTTTCCTGGACACACTGCAAGCAACTCTGCTGACAAATGTCAAGAGGGTCTATGTCGAGGTGGGTTTTCTTGTATATATATTTTTTGGGAGTG